AAGTTAAGACAGCTTTTTCTTATAAGCTAAAAACTTCTTATAAACTTACCTTATAGGATAAAATTTTTTTTAAATAGTTCTAAGAAACAAAATAATTATAAAAAGGATACTGATATAAAAAAACATGAAGCAATCTTTTCACCTGAGAGTCTGTGTTTTGTTATTTACTTTTGAGGTTTATAAAAAAAAAAAAAAAAACTTGAATTGAGAACTCAGTGGAGAGGTTCAGCATACTAGAAATAACTGAAAAAAAAAATTAGTGAATTGAAAAATGGATTGGGATAGGTTAGAATAAACTTCCAGAATGCAAAATGAAGTGACAAAAAACATATAAGATGCAAATCGCATGTTAAAAACTAAGATCTGCTGCACAATGTGGGTCACCACTCTGGTCTGGGGTCGAACTCAGGCTGAAGCGGCTGTGGCTAGCTTCATAGTGCTGCCCTTTAACCTGCTGTGCCACCAGGGAAGGCCCTAGTTTTATAAAATTTTAACATTGGGGAAAATGAAGGGATGAGAGCGTAGATGAGATTGCCCTGTGTTATTTTTACAACCACCTGTGAATACCATTACCTCAATAAAAACTGAATGTTTAAAAAGAAGTACACATCTTGGCATACAATAGTGAAAATGCAGGATACCTAAAGTAAAGAGAAAGTCTTAAACACCAAAGGAGAAAAGCAGCTTTTGACAATTCACTTTTTTTTTTAAAGATTTATTTATTTATGCATACAGAACTGGTGTACAGACCAGAGGCTTAGGGGCAATGAGAGCATTCACCAGAGACAGAGTGGGGAGCACAGCAGGCTGACTAACAAAGTACACTGCTGAGGGGAGCAGCAGGCAGGTCAGGAGAGGTCTGCCGCACCATGTGGGTCATCTCAGCGGCAGGGATCACTAAGAAGCTTTAGCTTCTTAGTGCTGCAGTTTAACGCGCTGTGCCATCAAGGAGGGCCTGACAATTCATTTTTAAAGCTTAGGAAGCTATGAGTCAGTAGATTAATATCTCCAGTGTTTTAAAACAGATTATCTTCAAAAATAAAGGTGAAATAGACTTTTTCAGATAAAAACTTGAATGTGTTCACCCCCCCAACAAAATTATATTAAACATCAATTCTAAAGGATGTTATGCTTTTCTCCTGTGGTGTTTAAGACTTTCTCTTTACTTTAGGTATCCTGCATTTTCACTATTGTATGCCAAGATGTGTACTTCTTTTTAAACATTCAGTTTTTATTGAGGTAATGGTATTCACAGGTGGTTGTAAAAAATAACACTAGGTAGAAAGATTTGAGGTTTGTGAAAGCATAAAAAGAAACCTAAGCTGTTAATGTGTTAGTGTTACATGAAAATTTTCAGATATATTCACCAGATAACCAGCCTTAATAATATTAAGACAGCCCAATGGAACAGAAGAGAGAGCTTTTAAACAATCATGCATATCTGGACATTGGATTAACTAGTGAAAGCAATGGAAAAGGACAGCTTTTCAGTAAGCAGCACAGTAGTAATTATGTGGAAAATATAAAAGTGGATCCTATCTCAAATCTTTCACCGGCAGGTGAAAGTTCTAACTATTGAAACTATTTATAATATTCATGACATTTGAGAAAGGAAATATTTCTAAAATATGACACAAAAAGCACAAACCAAACAGGAAAGAATCAATAAATATGACTATCATACGAATACAAATTTTGTTCATCGACATATTATTAAGGCACTTCCTTGTGGCACAACTGGTTAAAGTGTAATTCTATGAAGCTATCAGCAGACATGGCAGCATGAATTTGATCCCTGGCCAGGGAGGTGACCCTCATGGCACAGCAGACCTCTCCTTTACTGCCCTCTGCTCCCCTCAGCAGTATATTTCAGTCAATCCATTTGTTCTGCTTCCCGCTCTGTCTCTGGAAAATCCTCTCACCCCTTGCACCTCTGGCCTGTACCCCAGTTCTTGTGTACATAAGTAAGTAAACCTTTTAAAAATGCTTTAAAAAAGTAATTTAAAAAGTTTACTATCAAAATGACTAAAAGACCATCCACAGAGTAGAAGATGTTTGTTAGCAGAAAAAGGAGTTGTATTCATAACATACAATGAGCTCATACAAATCAATAAAAAAGAGGAAGAATCCAATAAAAAATAGACAAAACACATAAATAGGCATTTTACAACCCAAAAGGAGTCCAACAGATCAACAAACATTTGTAAAAGTGCTAAGCTTTATTCACAATCAGGGAAATGCCAATTGAAATCATAATGGGATAGCAATACTACCCTCTGCTGCCCACCACCAGATTGGCAAAATGTGAATTCTCTAAAATTAGAACTCAATTTAAAAATAGTCAGAATCTTTTAGCAGACACCAAGGACATTCAGATAGCAAATGAATATGTGAAAAGGTGTCCACCATCACTGGTTTTTAGGTAAATACAAATTACGAACACAACAGAACACAATTACATATCTATTCAAGTTACTAAAATTAAATTTTTGAGAACATGGAAGAACTAGGATTTTCACTTAGTAATAATGTATTTTTTTCCTTCTTTGCAGCATGGAATTTATTTCTCTCCTAGTTTCACTAAACATGTGGGTTGCAGGTTTTTAAAAATTGCTTTTCTAATTTTTCCAGTAGGAAAATGGGGGAAATACTGATTTTCATAGTCATATTCATGAAGGATACATTCCTTATGTTTTTAGACACATGGATTAGTGATTTTGACTGGCTGATTAGAGGTGCCTTTTGATTAGTAAACTTTTATAGCATTGGATATGCTATAATGTAACAAAACAGAAAAAAATACTTTCCCTATACTATCCTATTTTTTATACCATGGAAATTAAACTGACACAATTTATTCAGCGAAATAGAGTGAATATTGCAATTGGAGAAAATGAATGGAAATGAAAGTCAAAGTAACAGTCATCCTAATGCAATATTTGATACAATTAACAAATAAAAAATTGCAGATAGTCTAGTACAAGGTATGCAACTTTAGGCATGTGACTTAAGGAGACAAAGAATGTTCACCCCAAAGCAGACTCACAGAGGAGATTGAAGAGATTACTCTCCTGTCTCATGAGGGCTAAACTCTCATCCTGGGAATCCTCAAGGGAGAGCTGAGTGTATGCTGTTGTTATGAGATAGAACTAAAGTTTAATTTTTAGACTTTGAAAAAGGATAAATCCAAGAAGAACTTCAGAGTGCCTTTACACACTTTCCACTAATAGATATTGGGCACTCTATGTTTCATAAAACACTAAAACCATTCTCCAAAGCAATTTGTTTCTTTGGTTTTCAAGATACTTTTGTTGAAACATGTTTACCTAAAGATGCTCAACTCCATTCACCACAATAAATCCTGCATTCCTTTTTTTTTGTTTGTTTGTTTTATAATCCCCACCTATTGCTGCAAATTTTATTTTACATTCACTTCACTTCCCTAACTTATTTCTAGATATTTTTGGTCTTCTTTGGAATGAGTTAAGGAGTCCCTTTTCTGAAAGGTAAGGAGGAAATATGAGAGGAGTTTATATGGTGGAGTATGTGGGTTAGTCCAAAAGGGAAGGCCAAATGGAAGAGAAGCAGCAAAAAAAAAACTAAACTCAGTGTGAAAATACAGCCTAGACAGGAATAACAGAAAATGACATTGATAACATACCACGTGATTAGAACTAGATGTTAAATGTGTCAGTGTAGAGACTATCACACAGGTCAGGTTTACTGTCCTCGTGGGGGTTTCTGAATGTTTTGCCTGCTCATCTGGTTGTTTCTTATATAATATTCCTTGAAAGGAAATTCATCAGGTCACTATAGTATATAGAGAATGGATTTATCAGATTGCATGGCTGTAGGTGAAGAGACATGAGGCAAACACAAAATTTGCCTATTTAAAATAGAATCTTTTAGTAGACACTAAAGACATTCAAATATCAAATGAATATGTGAAAAGGTGTTCACCATCACTGGTTTTTAGGTAAATACAAATTATGAACACAACAGAACACATAAAAAGGAAGATTTAGGACATACAAAACACACAGAACATGGTAGCTGGCTCATGGCTTTACTAATCCTAAATAGGAGGATCTTAGACATTCTAGAGAAAGAAGAGCTCTGTTCTTATTCATTGTATGGTGTGATTGACAGGAATTCCTAGGAACAAGCATATTTACATTTGTATAACACACTGTGAACTTCTACCTCCATGATACACAAAGTAACATTTATTCTTAGTGACTAAAAAGAAAAACTAATTTTTTTCAGAGATTTTGATCAACTCTATTCAATTGACTTTGAGAAAATTAGTTTTTAAATGCCACCTGACCCTGACTTTCTTCCAAGAGTTCTGACAATCTGTTTCTTCAGTATAGTTATTATCTTACAGAGCCTATCATCATATTTGTCCCTGCATTCTATTACTCTAATTTCTTTATAACTTTGCAACTGTGATTTGTTTTATACATAATTAAACACCTTTTGCATTACCACAGTCTGCTTCATTTTCAATATTGAGGAAATGGCTTGTGTACTTTTAAGTAGGCTATCATCTTAAAGCACTATGAGGATAGAATTATTGTATTAATTATCTGCCAGATGAGGGTGGTCTACAAAAAGGGTGAAAGATATAATTCTCTGGAGCAAAAAGAAAAATAAGCTCAAGGGATTGTTGCAGAGTAACTGTCACTAGTAGATATTCCAAGAGTTTAGACTGCAATCTTCTTCAGGCATTTAAACTCATGTGTTTTAGATAATCAACTCAACTGTTAGGGATTAAACTATGTAATTATCTCAGCAGAGCATGTTGAATCATGCTTGTTAGAGCAAGTGTGAAAATCTAGCTGAATTTAACACTTATTGAGCTTCATGCTAGTGATCCAAAGAACAACCCAGTAGGTGAGTGTGGAACAGCATCATTCAATAATGGAGCCACTCAAATCAGCATATTCCCTCCAGCCTTCAGGATATTTAGAACCCTCAAATTAAAACAAGGGGACAGGATGAACCAGGACAGATACAAGAAGTTGGTCTTACCTGACAACCACCTTACCAGTCCAGACCTTGAAGTAATGAATTTTATATCAGCAAGACAAGTAAGGAAATGAGCCATCAAAGGGATGTAGTTTAAGTTACATATACCAGTTTTTAGAAGAGTCAGAAACTATTCCCAAATGGTATTGTTGGCTAAGGTGTCATAGGGCTGCATACTTGGATGCAAATTTTCCTGTTCCACAATTATAAGCAGGTTTATTCCTCTCCACTTAGGTAGTAGATAATTCCATATATCTTTGGAAATACCACCTAAAAGTATGGGTTATTCTACTTCTAAAAGGCCCTTCTATATCTGTCCTTTTTAATGTTCAGGTCAAAAATAAGCCCTTTAATTACAAAGTCAATATGCATATCCCTGATAAATGTCTTTTCAATGTCATATATTTTGTCACTTTTAAATACAATAGATTCAATCATTTTCTTTTTTTATTTTTTTTTTTTTAAGATTTATTTATTTATGCTGGGATGTAGGCCAGAGGTGCAGGTTAGGGTAGCATAAAGATTGAAGGAGGGAATGGGAATGTGACAACACAACAAAATGCTTTGGAACAGCTGGAACCTGACTATTTTAAGGACATGGCACCAACCATCAGGAAAACACAGAAAATCATCATTAAGAAGAGAGAGCCCTTAAATTTTGGCATCTCCGATGGTAGTACAGGTTTCTCCAGCAGATTAGCAGCTACTCAAGATTTGCCTTTTATACATCAGTCTTCTGAATTAGGTGACTTGGATACCTGGCAGGAAAATACCAATGCATGGGAAGAAGAAGAAGATGCAGCTTGGCAAGCAGAAGAAGTTCTAAGGCAGCAGAAGATAGCAGACAGAGAACAGAATGGGGAGCAGAACAGTTGGAGTGGCAGAAATACACTGCTGAGGGGAGCAGTGGGTAAGACAGAAGAGGTCTGCTGCTTAATGTGGTCAGTTCCCTAGCCAGGATTGAACTTCTGTTGTCGTAGTGGCTGCTGATAGTGTAATAGTGCCAAGACATCACCCCTTGTGCCATCAGGGGGGACCTAGATTCACTAATTTTCTGTGAAGCAAGCTGATCGATAATAATAGTTTCAATTTAGAAGAAATGCTGCTTAATCAATGAACCAGAGTCTCACTTTTCAGCTGAAGTCAGTGCAAAATATTTACTTCATAAAATTACTACATGTACATGTAGACTTTAGAGGAATTAGAATACATTAAATAAATATTTTTAGTGTTAAAATCACAGAGCTAAGCACTAATGTTAATAATTTCTATTTGCTCTAAAATAATTTTCCATGTCAGTATGCAAAGATAAAATGTTTCTTTCAACACATGGATTGCAATAAGAGAAATATGAAACCAGCTTTTTCTAGATTCAAAAACTTCTATTAACTAGAGTCATTTCCTTACAGTAGCCAGAAGCATGCAGCAGATGGCACTAAGAACATTTAGCAAAGCAGCCAGAAAGAGGTCTTCCTTAATTGCTCTTCAGGGTCAGAAAATTGCCTGGAAAATGTAATGTTTTAACTAATTGAACCTAGCTTTTCCCAGATAAATTACACAATAAAATCTTTAAGTTCCACACACTGTTATTTCTTTTCAGAAGTATTTTACTATTCAAAGCACAGAGATAATTCTCTTCAAGAATTAGAATATTGCTATTCCAGAAAGAATCACAGAGAAGACCAGAAAGAATGTGAGCTATTACAGTCATTACTTATTAATTCTGAGATTGAACACATTTCTTTGTTCTAGTTTTGGAAACATAAAATACAATGTGTGTAGTTTTTATATTCCCTAAGGAAGGGTGACTCATAAAATAAATAGCAAAGCAAATATCTGATTATTTCCAAAGTAATTTGTCCATATTTTCATTTTGTTCCTTCCTCGTCTGTAATGCTACTGACTTGGTGCTATAGATTTTTGGTCACACTTAAGCTCTTATTTTCTACTTTGTGCTTTATTTTATTTTAAAATTTTTAAAGCAAACTGTCATTTGTTGCAGCATAGGATTATTAAATTGCAGTATCTTCAAATAGCCAGTAATATATGACAAAGTCATAGATTAAAAGCTGAACTGGCTAATGTCGGCAGTTAGAAAAATTGGATCAAGCAGATTTCTGAGTCAGTGTTCTATTTTAAAAAATAAACTATTGTGGGGCCCTCCCTGGTGGCACAGCGAATTGCAGCATAGCACTGCAAAGCTGGCCATCACCACTTGGGGTGCTAGTTTGATCCCCGCCCTGGAGGAGAACCCCGTGGCACAGCAGACCTCTCCTGACCTGCCCGCTGCTCCCCTCAGCAGTGTACTTCCATCATTCTGCCTGTTCTGTTCTCCACTCTGAATCTGGTGAATCCTCTCACCACCCAGCATCTCTGGCCTGTATCCCAGTTCTGTACGCATAAATAAATTTAAAAATCTTAAAAAAAAAAAAAAAAAGAAACTATTGTGATTCAAACTCTTTTGTATAAAAGTGAAAAAATTCACCATTTCCCCACAGGTAACTTCTATAAAAACTTTTTTTTTGCATCAATATTACAACTTAATAGCAAAACCATAAGAAGCAATGTGTACTGAAATGTGTTTACTATACAATTGGAACATAGCTTTATGTCCTCTTTCAGTAACTGAACATTTATTTAAATCAAATAAGTCCATTAGGGAATATGAATATACAAAGCCTGAAACATACTGGCGAAGCTGCCTTATACAAGGACATTCTTTTTCCATGAATGCCCAGTGGTCCGAGTTCTCTGTTAATCACTTGATTTTTGTCATCCATTTATTCTAAAATGAACATTTATGAAATGTTTCTATGCTCATTTTGCTCTTACTAATTGAAATTTTAATCAAATGAATTCTCCATACAGTACAGATAAGTGACACATGCTGCCAAGCAGACATACAGAGAAGTCCATGTCTCATATCCTATGCAGAAAATATCTCCTTATGGAAACATCGAGGAAATCACTGGTTGATCCTGAAAGCCCCATGTAGTAAACTACACATAATTAGAGAACTAACTTGATCATTTAGTATTCATTGTTTCTTAAAGAGTCTCCATCTCCCCGCACAGATTTTAGTAACTTTTGCCTGCTCTTACATGCTCAGCATGCACACTTACATCAATAGACACCTGCTCTTGAAGGGATATGCTGTTTCCATAGTGTTTCCTGAGAGAAGAAATGACACTAATGTTTTACACACTTTTCTGTTAGCATTTGTCAGTGTTTGACAGGATGAAAGAAGATATTGGTTGTTTACTTAGGGTCTTTCAATTCTACTAGTGCACATTTTTCCAATAGAATAATAGAAATAAGAGTGTTTTTCAAGGTATGAACAGCATTCCATGTAAACTCATCAACAACACCTTTCCTTCTAGATGTATTTTTAATGCAAGAAACAATTTTAAAAACTTGTGTTTGTTTTAATTGTTGTGCTAGAATATTGACTTAAGAAAAATTCCCAAGAGTATTAGGAAGGCAGAAAGGTTGCAGCTGACACATGCTGCTTGATCATCCTGCTCAAGCAGAGGCAACCTTCACCATTCTTGAGAGCTAGAAGACTGACGCGGGCCATCTGTTCATGTTACATTCTTCTGTCTTTATACCTTCAGCAAAAGACTGTGATATTTTCAGTGTCTGAGGCACATGAAACATTTATAGATTAGTGAGTTCCTGTCGTTCAATATATCATCATTTAAAAATTGTTTGGGAATCAAATAACAAATTGTGTTCAATGAGTAAATGATAAGCAACTCTGAAGAGCAATTTTATCATTGTCAACAGTCTTTGGGTAACAACATTTGCACATAATTTTGAAGAAAATATGAATATAAAATCACATCTTATATGATTACAGTAGTTTTGTATGCATAAAATTATTTTTAATTTTTTCACAGTTGGTTTGATATTTCCAATTCTTAAGTAGCCTACAAACAGTAAAGTTATTATTTAAAGATTTTTAAAATTTATAATCTTCATTGTTTCATAAAGAATTGTTTCACTACCCTAAAATTTCTATGCATTCTGTTTATTCACTTTTCCTTTTACCATAATCTTTTTACTTTTTCATAGTTTTTGGAATAATGGAGTAAGTAGCCTTTTCATACATACTGGGTTCTTTCACTTAGTGATATCCATTTAAGTTTCCTTCATGTCTTTTTATGACTTGATAAAGCATTTCTTTTTAGTACTAAATAATATTCCATTGTCAGGTTATACCACAATTTATTAATCTAGTTGTCTGCTAACGAATGTTGTGCTTTTTATTTGTTTTGAATCTTACTGAAGTTCAACTTGTCAGGGTTCTTTCTATTGTAGATAGTGCTTTTGGCGGTTTATCTAAAAACTCACAGTTACAGCAAAGGTCATCTAGATTTTCTCCTTTGTTATCTTTGAAAAGAATTCTATTGGCTTGCATTTGCCTTTTATTGTAGTTTTTATGTTAGCCTTCAAATTGGGAATTGTCAGTTCTCTGACTTTGTTCCTCTTCAATACTAAGCTGGCTATTGTGTCTTTTGCCTCTTCCTATCAATTTAAACATTTTTGTCAAGCCACAAAATAACTTGATGGGGATTTTGATGAAACTGTAGTGAATATGCAGATAAATTTGGGTAGAACTGACAACTTGACAAATGAATCTTTCTGTCCAAAAACAGGGAATATTTTTCCATTTATTTAGTTCTTCCTTGATATATTTCATTTAACCTTTGTAGATTATTTCACATAAAAATTATACATCGCATATTAGAAATACACATAGGGTTTTTTTAAGTGCAAATATAAATGATAGTGTGTTTTTAATTTCATATTCCACTTCTTCACTGCTGGTACAAAGGGAAACAATTACCTTTATATATTAACTTTGTATACTGTAAGTTTGCCATAATACTTTTTAGTTTTTTAGTTCTGGGATTTTTTTTTCAGATTTTCTCCATAGATCATCATGTTCTCTGCAAATAAAAATAGCTTTATTTCTTCCTTCCTTTTCTGTATATTTTTTAAAGATTTATTTATTTATTCATACATACCTGGGGTACAGTCCAGAGGTGCAGGGGCGGTGAGAGGATTCACTAGAGACAGAGTGGGGAGCAGAACAGGCAGACTGACTCAGTACACTGCTGAGAGGAGCAGTGGCCAGGTCAGGAGAGGTCAGCTGTGCCATGTGGGTCACTTCCGGGTGGGGATCGAACTCATGTGGAAGTGGCTTTAGCTTCTTAGTGCTGCAGTTTAACCTGCTGCACAATCAGGGAAGTCCCCTCTTCTGTGTTTTTAAAAATTTCTTCTCTTGACCCAGAGTCCAGTGCATTTCCCTCCCCCTCACTGTTTTGACCCCATTCCCCACTCCACCCCCATAAACTGTCTCTGGTATCTAGCTGTTCATTATTATTATTTTCTTGCCTGGTCCATTATATTGTTTTAGATGTTAGTGGGAAAGCTTTTAGTTTTTCACCATAAGCTGTGGGTATGTTGTATATGGCTTTCTTATGTTGGTGTATGTTCTACCTATCCCCAATGTTTACAGAGTTTTTTTTATAAATAAATGTTCAGTCTTAACAAATGCTTTTTCAGCCTCTATTGATATAATCTGAGGGTTTTTCTTTCCTTTTGTTGATGTAGTCAATTACATTGATTTTTGGATGTTGTATCATCCTTGTGTCCCTGGAATAAATCCCACTTGGTCATGGTATATGATTCTTTTGATGCATTGTTAAATCAGTTTGCTAAGATTTTGTAGAGGGCTTTTGTGTCTGTTCTCACTAGAGATAATGGTCAGTGTCAGAACCGATGTTCAAGAGGTTCTCTAATGTCACCCCAGGTCATTGGACTCTCATGTCCTTTTGGACCTGTCTTGATTATCCTTAGACCAAG